CCCCATCTGGGTGGTCCGATGTGGGTTCCTCAATCCCTGGGTCCACTGGGATCCCGCTGGCAGCCTCCAGCAGCAGAGAGGAGGCCCTGGGGCTCTGCAGGGCAGCGGCGTGCTCGGGGAGGTCCCTCTCCTCCTCAGTGGGGCTGAGCAGCTCACCCCGGGGGGTCTCCAGAGCTGGGGGGTCGGCTGGGGCATTACCCATCGGTGGGCTGGGGGCTGAAAGATGGAGGCTCCTGCTTGGGAGACAAGACCACAGAGTTGCTCCAGCCCCAGATAACACAAGGCCTGCTCATGTCCCAAAACCCTTCTGTCCACCTCAGGGGAAGCTGCTCCCTCCCTGCCACCACCAGTGCCCTCCTTACCTGTCCTCTGTGCCCGTGTCCCCTCCCAGGCTTCGTTCCCCAGTGCCGAGGTCCCGGCTGCGGGCGGCACAGCGGGCACCAAAGGCACTCGCCCACTCCTGGCGCTTGGCCTCGGTGTCCTGCAGATCCATGCTCCAGTGCTCCAGGTCCTGGCTCCAGCGGGCATCGTCCGTGTCCAGAGAGACATCCCTGTGCCAGCCTGCCAGGGACTGCAGGCCCCTGGACATGGTGCCATCTGAGGCTCCGCTGCTGCAGGGGTCTGGCACCCGCTCTGTCCCAATGGCACCAAACTGGTTGTGGCAGTCACCTCCTCCAAGCTCCTCAGCCCAGTCCCCGCTGCTGGAGCTGCCACGCTCCTGCTGGTGGGCACTGCCCCAGGTGGACTCCTGGGCCAGGAGATCAGAGCAGAGGGAGCCAGGCACATCTTCCTCATTGATCCCAACATGCCTGGCCTGGCCGACGCTGCTCTCACCGGACCAGCTCAGCCGGCCTGGGATCAGCTCCTGCCCTTCCTCCATGGGGAACACAGAACCGTGCTCCCTATCCCGGGCTGCTCCACTGGGGCTGAACTCCCTGTCCTGGGCCTCCACATCCCTGGTGCTGGACCTGTCGCCCCAGGCCACTCTGCTGGGGCTGAACAACTCCCCGTGCCGGGTCTCCATGTCCCCAGCGCTGTGCCCATCATCCCAGGTTGCTCTGCTGGGAGTGAATCCACTGTCCTGGGTCTCCATGTTGCTGGTGCTGGATCTGTCACTCCAGGCTGCTCCCCTGGGGCTGAATTCCCCATCCTGGGTCTCCAGGTCCCCGGTGGTGCACTCGCTGGCTTCAGCCAGCCGGCTGGGGCTGAACTCCCGGTCTTGGCTCTCCGTGTCCCTGCTGCTGGATCTGTTATCCCAGGTCAGCCTGCTGGGGTTGAACTCCTGATCCTGGCTTTCCATCTCCCTGTATTCACCAGCCCAGGCCGGCCTCCTGGGGCTGAACTCCCTGTCCTGGCTTTCCATGTCCCTGATTTCACCAGTCCAGGCCGGCCGGCTGGGGCTGAACTCACGGTCCTGGCTCTCCATGTCCTGAGTGCTGTACCTGTTATCCCAGGCCGCTCCGCTGGGGCTGAATTCCCGGTCCTGGGTCTCCACACTGCCAGTGCTGCACTCGCTGCCTTCAGCCAGCCGGCTGGGGCTGAACTCCCTGTCCTGGTTTTGTGTGTCCTTGTATTCCTCAGTCCGGGCTGGCCGGCTGGGACTGAACTCCCGGTCCTGGCTCTCCATGTCCCGGGTGCTGTACCTGCTGTTCCAGGACGGTCGGCTGGGGCTGAGTTCCTTGTCTGGGCTCCCTGTGTCCCCAGTGCTGGATCGGCCAGCCCAGCCCAGCGTAAAATCCTCATCCTTGCTCCTGGCATCCCGGCTGCTGTATTTACTGGCCCAGTCCGGGGTGAGCTCCCTGTCCTTCATCTCCATGTCACCGGTGCCATACCTGCCCGCCCAGGTGGGCTGCTCGGAGTCAAGCTCCTCTGTGCTGCTGGCACGGCCCAGGCCATAGCCCGGGCCCCACTTGGCTGTGCTGCTGCCAAAGTCTGGATCCCGCAGGCAGCTCTCCCCAGCACCAAGGGACTGGGACCAGTCACTGCTGCCCAGTTTGGTGTCTGCCATCAGCTCCGTCCCTCTGTAGTCACTGCTCCAGCCCTCCCGGGCAGTGCTGAAGTGCCCATCCGGCCTGGCCCCAGCACTGTCACTGTGGCTGCTGTCCCAGCCGGATTTGGCCCTAAATTCCTGGTCCTGCTTGGTCTCAGCAGGCCAGTCTCTCTCCCTGGACACAGCTGGGCAGCTCCAGTCAAAGGTGCCGGCCCGGCGAGGGCGGCCAATGCCAAACTCACTGCACAGGTCCTTCCGCGACCAGCCCAACAGGCCCTGGGGGGAAGGGGGAAAGGAGTGAGAAGAGTTAGAGGGGGGCATAGCCCTGGCTCCTGCAGCAGCAGAGTTAGGGAGAAAGGGAGAAATGCCCTGGGGTGCCCAGGGTACACGGCACAGCAGGGCCCACCCCAAAGGGAGGCCATACCCTGCCACCTGCCCCTCACCACACGCTCCCGCTTGGCCTCCATACACACACTCATCCCATCCTGTGCTGTCCCCTCCCATCCCGTCACCCAGTGATGGAAGAGCCCACCCCACATTAACCCCACAGAGCCCCCCCGCACCCCCTCACCTCTGGCGAGCCGTGCCCTGTGGTGTGGGCCCCAGGTGATGCCAGCAGCTCCGTCAGCCAGCCCGGGTCGGCGTGGGGGTCGGGGCCCTGTGGGGGTCCTTCGGCTTGGCCTGGCCCCCCAGGGCCCTGCAGGTCTTTGGGGCTGTCACCTGCCCAGGCCAAGTCAGCCAGAGGGGCTGGATCTGGGGGGGCTGGATCCAGGGGTGCAGCTGTGGTGATGCTGGGCTGGGTGGGGGGCTCAGGCTCAGCTGGGTGCCAGCCAGGCTCTGTCACACGAAGTGGGGACTGGGACCCAGGGGTGCCTCGCTCTACCTCCCCTTCCTCCTCCTCCTCCGTCAAGCCCTCAGCCTCTCGCTGGGCTATGGGACCCCCTGGGCATGGAGCCCCCTCTGCCCTGCAGCTGTCAGGCCCTTCAGAACCGCTGTCCTCCGGGGGGCTGCGGGCTGCAG